TGTTTTTCTTCTGGGAAAATATTGTGGCTGTCTGCAGACAGACTTGGCTGGACGAGTTTCTGTACCTTTCAGCCAACCTGTAGTTCTAATGTGCTCTGATTCAAGTAGAAGTGGTCAAGGTTTAACCAATCTCCATTGTCCCTGGCCTCCTATAAGGCGGTCAGTTCTACATACACTGAGGCATTCAGCAATGTAGCAGTTTAAGACTAGCCAGAATTCTTAAATTCTGATTAGTGCAAGCTGATTAAATAAGTTTATAGAGCTCTTAAGTAGGTTGGTTGGCAGCAAGTCTAAACTATGATAAATTTGTCACTGAAGGAATGGACAAAAGCAACTTTAACTCCCTTTAAAGGGAAAGAAGAATTGGAACATGCATTGACTGTTATGATGCAACTGTTACATCCGTATACAAGTTAAATCACTGGAACTTTAACTGTGAATGAAACAGGTTTTCAATTTTACTGATAACAGGAGCAGGCTGATGTGACAGTTGCATCACATTGGTATCATTTGAAAGTGATACTGTTGTGAGGACTGTTTGTACCCTTAAGTCCTGTTAACTTCTATGTGGGTCGGTGTCTAAGATGAATCGGCTACTTACCTCTTTAAACCTAATTCACGTGTCGGTACTGCGGAGTGGAGAAACTGGAGAATTGGCAGAAGTTTTCATTTGTACTAGAGTCCTTTTAGGTTTCTTCTGTACTCTTGGTGCTGTGGACAAGAATGCACATATCCTTTGGTACTTAGCAAGAATATCAAGACAGGATCCTTATAACAATTTTGTACAGTACTTGCCTCCTGTGTTAGACTATACTAGTGCACTCTTGATGAGAAGAGCATATACCAGTGCTCTAATCTACAGTAACTGCTGATAACTTTCCCATGGAGGTCAAGGTTCTAGGTTTATCAAAGCCCTAGAGTGTTTTACCTTAGTTATGTGAGTTCCCTTGCTCTCTTTTCAGAAAATCCAGTACTATACTGAGTGAATGAGGCATTTGCAGGCTTATCAATAAAATGTGGGAATTTGTAGCCCTGCTTGTTTGCAGTGAAAGCATTAAGTTTCTTTCCTAGGCCTGAGCATTTTATGCAATGAAACACACATCTTTGAGTGCAGTCTCTGCTGTCGGTGGTAACATGATCTCTGGATTTAGGGTATCCCTGGAGATAATCAAGCTGTGGCTGATCCTCCTCAAGCAGCAGGCACTGGTGCTTCTCAGTCTTCGGCAGTGGCAGCAGCAGCAACAACTACGACTACTAGCTCTTCAGGAGGTAAGATGGCCTAGTTTATAGCTATAGAGCAGACTGCCTATGCATTAGATTTTAAGTTTAACTAATCAAAATGAGAGAGACATTAGGGAAACTGAAATTTCAGCAGAAGAAAAATCTAGTTGTCCACAGATGGATCTGCGATGTTGGTGTCACAGTATGTCAAATCCTAAATACCACCATGGATCTTATGGCAACCCTGATCTGATACGATTTGATTAACTTTTTGCCATTACAAATATAGACAGTTCTTCATATTTCCTCAGCCCTAGTTTCTTGGTAGAATAGTTTGCTGTAGGCTAAATAACTTCAAAATGTCTATAGTAAGAAAGTGCTAGGTTTTAAAACATGGGTGGGCAATTATGTTGACTGAAAGGCCAATTAATTAATTTTGGCAAGCTATTGAGGGGCCACAGGCAGTCTTTTGGAAGATATCATTTTAACAAATTATAGATAAAAAACCAAATTGTATACTAAAAATCAAACATCCACTATAATATATTTTCATTTTATTTCAAAAATTATTTTTGTCCTGATTTGTTTGGGTTTTTTTGAGTAATGAATATAGATGCAATTTGCATAATAACTCAAAACAAAGTCTTACACGTAAGTTGTGGGGGAGTAGGTTGAGGGGCAGGGGACTGCCTGCCAGGAGCTGGCCAGAGGGGAGGGGGCCCTGGGGCGGGGGGGGGGCCTGGAGGAAAGCTTGCC